ATTAACAAATTGAAGGAGAAAAACTATATGATCATTTCAATAGATGAAGAAAAAGCTTTCAACAAAATTCAACACAAATTTATGATAAAAACACTCCAGAAATGGGCATAGAGGGAACCTACCTCAACATAATAAAGGCCATATATGACAAACCCACAGCCAACCTTGTTCTCAATGGTCAAAAAGTGAAACAATTTACCCTAAGGTCAGGAACAGGACAAGACTGTCCACTCTCACCCCTATTATTCAACCTACTTTTGGAAGTTTTAGCCACATCAATCAGAGAAGAAAAGGAAATAAAAGGAATCTAAATTGGAAAAGAAGAAGCTGTTACTGTTTGCATATGACATGATACCATACATAGAGAATCCTAAAGATGCTACCAGAAAACTACTAGAGCTAACCCATGAATATGGTAAAGTAGCAGGATACAAAATTAATGCACAGAAATCTCTGGCATTCGTATACACGAATGATGAAATATCTGAAAGAGAAATTAAGGAAACACTCCCATTTACCACTGCAACAAAAGGAATAAAATACCTACGAATAAACCTACCTAAGGAGGTAAAAGATCTATACTTAGAAAACTAGAAGACACTGATGAAGGAAATCAAAGATGACACAAACAGATGGAGAGATATACCATGTTCTTGGATTGGAAGAATCTGTACTGTGAAAATGACTATACTACCCAAAGCAATCTACAGATTCAATGCAATCCCTATCAAACAACCAATGGCATTTTTCACAGAACTAGAACAAAAAAATTCACAATTTGTATGGAAACATAAAAGACACCGAATAGCCAAAGCAATCTTGAGAACGAAAAATGGAGCTGGTTGAATTGGGCTCCTGGACTTCAGACTATACTACAAAGCTACAGTATTCAAGACAGTATGGTACTGGCACAAAAACAGAAATATAGATCAATGCAACAGGATAGAAAGCCCAGAGTTAAACCCATGCACATATGGTTACCTTACTTTTGATAAAGGATGAAAGAATATACAATAGAGAAAAGACAGCCTCTTCAATAAGTAGTGCTGGGAAAACTGGACAGCTATATGTAAAAGAATGAAATTAGAACACTCCCTAACACCATACACAAAAATAAACTCAAAATGATTACAAACCTAAATATAAGGCCAGACGCTATAAAACTCTTAGAGGAAAACATAGGCAGAACACTCTATGACATAAATCACAGCAAGATCCTTATTTAGCCACCTCCTAGAGAAATGGAAATAAAAAAAAATATTGGACTTAATGAAACTTAAAAGTTTTGCATAGCAAAGGAAACCATAAACAATATGAAAAGACAACCCTCAGAATGGGAGAAAATATTTGCAAATGAAGCAAGTGACAAAGGATTAATCTCCAAAATGTACAGGCAGCTCATGCAGCTCAATATCAAAAAAACAAACAACCCAATCCAAAAATGGGCAGAAGATCTAAACAGACATTTCTCCAAAGAAGATACACAGATTCCCAACAAACCCATGAAAGAATGCTCAACATCACTTCTCATTAGAGAAATGCAAATCAAAACTACAATGAGGTATCACCTCACACCAGTCAGAATGGCCATCAACAAAAAATCTACAAACAATAAATGCTGGAGAGTGTGTGGAGAAAAGGGAACACTCTTGCACTCTTGGTGGGAATGTAAATTGATACAACCATTATGGAGGACAGTATGGAGGTTTCTTAAAAAACTAACAATAGAACTACTATACGACCCAGCAATCCCACTACTGGGCATATACCCTGAGACAACCATAATTCAAAAAGAGCCATGTACCACAATGTTCATTACGTTCTATTTACAATAGCCAGGACATGGAAGCAACCTAAGTGTCCATTGACAGATAAATGGATACAGAAGATGTGGCACATTTATACAATGGAATATTAGCCATAAAAAGAAATGAAACTGAGTTATTTGTAGTGAGGTGGATGGACCTAGAGTCTGTCATACAGAGTGAATAAGTCAGAAAGTTGAAAACAAATACCGTATGTTAACACATATATATAGAATCTAAAAAAAAAAAAAAAAAGGTTCTGAAGAACCTAGGGGCAGGACAAGAATCAACATGCAGACGTAGAGAATGGACCTGAGGACACGGGAAGTGGGAAGGGTAAGCTGGGGCGAAGTGAGAGGGTGGCGTGGACATGTATACACTACTAAATGTAAAATAGATAACTAGTGAGAAGCAGCCACATAGCACAAGGAGATTACCTCTGTTCTTTGTGACCACATAGCGTGGTGGGATAGGGAGGGTGGGAGGCAAAGGCAAGAGGGAGGAGTTATGGTGATGTACGTATATGTATAGCTGATTCACTATTTTATAAAGCAGAAACTAACACACCATTGTAAAAAGTTATATACCAATAAAAATGTTTATATATATATATATAATATATATATATATATATCTCTCAACTGACCACTTCTTTCCTGTCCACTTGTGAATATTATGTTTTGCTTAGGTTACTGTGATAACCGTTAACTATTCTCCCTATATCTATCTTTGTTCACATCCAGTCCATTTTCATCATAATAGCCAGAGTGATCATTATAAAATATTGTTGGGACTTACCACTTGTCTGCTTCCTGCAATAGTCTCCTATTTAAATTTCACTCAAAATAGGGATAGCCCTATATAGGGGGAGTACAGGTTATCCCAAAACTGAAAAGCAACTTCATAAGAAAAAACTAGAAATTTTGTATCTACTATGTCTATATTAACAAATTCCATTCCCTTTTACTCCCTCAAAAAAAGTGTTTACAGTTGAAAGAGTAGTTTCTTACATCTTTTAATACCATTCATGAAATGGCAAATTTCCACCAAGAAAACAGAAGTATTCAAACTAACTTTTAGGTTTGATTTTTAAAATTTGGGTCTCAAATCTGTTGGTTTCACTTAATAGGAAAGATACTGTGGAACATATTATGCACTGTTATTACCAAAGAAGGAAATTCCTGAACGACCTGTAAGATTTTCTTTTGGTTTAAATAAGCTATTACTCATATTCTCTCCTCTAGTGAAATCTACTGTACTTCTCACTTACATCAGTATCTCTCAGTAGTAGTTTATATTTACATTTATTGAACATCTACTATAGGTCCTGAGCTGCCTTACATACATAATTTAATGTAATTCTTACATCACTGTAAAGCAGATGTTATTATTAACTGTTTTACAGGTGAGAAACTAATGATATGAACAGTTAAGTAAATTGTATTGGTACAAGGTCAGAAATCTGCTAAATAGCAGAACTGGGATTTGAACTCACGCTTGAGGCCATATTCTTTCCATTAGCCATATTGCATTTAATTCATTGATTGAAATTATTTACCATTGAATTTCTTCTTCACATTAAGTTGCCTTCCTGTAACTAACATTGATTAATCCTGGGTGTCTTTTCCAGAATGATGGATCTTCTTGTAAATTTTATAACAGCTCTTGTTATATCGTACTGATGAATTAATTTATTTATCATTATGAAATAACCCTCTTTAACCATTGTAATTTTCCATGATCTGAAGTCCACTTTATTTGATGATGATGTAGCCACTCTAGCTTTCTTCTTGTTTCTTTAATTTGTTTTATTGAGGCTAAATTCACATCGTATAAAGTTAACCGTTTTAAAGTGTACAACAACTAAAGTGTCCTTTAGTACATTTCCAGTAGTGTACGACTATCACCTCTATGTGGTTCCAAATCATTTTAATCACCCTGAAATAAAACCCCAAGCCCCATAAGCCATCTCCCCAGTTTCCTCCAGCCCCTGGAAACCACCAATCTGCTTTCTGTCTCTAAGGATGTATCTATTCTGGATATTTCATATAAACAGAATAGCACAAAAAATATAACGTACTTTTTGTGTTTGACTTCTTTCATATGGCATAATGTTTTTGATGTTCATCCATGTTGTAGTAACTTTCAGTACTTTGTTCCTTTTTAATGACTAAATAATATTCCTCTTGCATATATAACACATTGTCTTTATCCATTCAATGATTGATGGACATTTGGGTTGTCTCCACTTTTTGACTATTGTGCATAATGCTACCGTAAACATTATGTACAATTATTTGAGGACCTGTTTTCAGTTATTTATAGTATATACCTTAGAAAAGAATTGGTGCATCATGTGGTAATTCTATGTTTAATTTTTGAGATACCACTGGACTATCTACCATAGTCAGTGGCTGTCTTCTTATTTCTTCACATAGTCTACCTTCTTCAATCTTTTTTCTTTAAATCTACATCTATGGATTTTAAATGCCTTTTTAATTTTTTATTTTGGAGAAAGCATATAGTTGAGTCATGCTTTTGAAAATATAGTTTAACTTTTTCTCTCTTAATTCAAATGCTTATACCATCTACAGTAATTCAATTATCAATGCATTCACTGAAAATCTATTCATTTTCATCAGTCTTTATTATTTCTGTGCTTTATTTTTGTTTCTATTGCACTTGCCTTCAAGTTCACTATATTTATTTGGTAGATTCTAATTTACTGTTAATTTACTCCAGTGAATTTTGGTTTCAGGTATTATATTTATTTTTCAGATCTGGAATTTTGTTTTCTTCTTGTATATCTTTTCTTTCTTTCCTTATTATGTTCATGCTTTTATTTTAATGCATGAATGTAATTGTAATAACTGATTAAGTCCTTGCCTGCTAATTCCATCATTTCTACTATATTGGGGTTGTTTCAATTGAGTCATTTTTTCTGACCAAGAGTCACATTTTCCTGTTTTTGGCATACTTAGTAATTTTTTATTAGATACTGAACATCGTGTATTTCATGTTGTTGTCAGGATTTTGTTGTTTTCTTTAAAATGGTTCTAATAGGGAGTTAAATTACTTGAGATTAAGTTTGATACTTTTGAGGCTTGGTCTTAAATTTTATTATGATAGTTATAGAGTAGTCTTTGCCAAGATAATAATTTAGCTACTCTACATTAATAATTCAGAAGTACTTACCCAACTGGGGTCTCTACTGAATGCCTCTAGTGATCAACAAAGATGCTCCATTCAGGAAGGTGGAAATTTGAATAATTTCCACCTCTTTGAAAACTCTTGGAACCATTTACTCATAGCTTCCCTGTCCTCTATTTTCCAACATTGTAGAGACTCACTCAAGCAAGGCATGTACACCTTAATAAGAATAGAGAACCTGATTAGATTTCTAAAACCCTTTGGAATATATCCCTCCTTTCCATAACTCTGCCCTGCAAATTTCAGTTATTTCAAACTTACTGATTTCTGATCTGTGCATTCTCAAGTCAGTGGTACTACTGTACTTTTCATGGAATTTCCCTTTGTGATGGTTAAATTTACATGTCAACTTAGTTGGGTTAGTGCCCAGGTATGTAGTCAAACATTATTGTGGATGTTTCTGTAAGAGTGTTTTTAGATGAGATTAACTTGTTTTTTGGACTACTATTATTTTTAATAAACCTTATTTTTCTAATAGATTTAAGTTCACAGCAAAATTTAATAGAAGCTACAGAGAATTTCCATATACATTCTGCCCCCAGAAATGCATAGCCTCCTCCATTATCATCCCTTACCAGAGTGGTACATATGTTACAACGGATGAACCTACATTGGCATATCATAGTCCATAGTTTATCTTAGGGCTCACTATTGGTGTAATACATACCATGGGTCTGGACAAATGTATATTGACATGTATTCACCATTAAGGATTATACAGAGTAATATCAATGCCTTAAAATTTATCCATGCTCTGCTTACTTATCCCTCCCTCACCCAGCCCCTGACAACTACTGATCTTATTAATGCATCCATAGTTTTACCTTTTCCAGAATATCAAATAATTGTTAAACATACAGTACATAGCTTTCTCAAATTGTTTTTTTTTTTCATTTAGCAATATGCATTTCAGGTTCCTCCATGTTTTTACATGGCTTAGTAGATTATTCTTTAATAGTGCTGAAAAATATTCCATCGTCTGGATGCACCACAGTTTATTTATCCATTCACCTACTGAAGAATCTCTTGGTTACTTCCAGTTTTGGCAATTATGTATAAGCTTCTGTAAACATTCCTGTACATGTTTTTGTATGGACAAGTTATTAACTTCTTTGGGGAGATACCAATGAGGGCAATTGTTGGGCTGTATGGTAAGAAAATGTTTAGTTTTGTAGGAATCTGCCAAACTGTCTTCCAAAGTAGCTGTACTAATTTGCATTCCTACCATCAATGAATGAAAGTACCTGTTGCTCCATATCCTTACCCACATTTGGTGTTGTCAGTGACTTGCATTTTGGTCACTCTAATAGGCATGTAGTGGTATCTCGTTGTTTAAATTTGCATTTCGTTGATGACATGAGATACGGAGCATCTTTTCATATGCTTATTTGTCCTCTGTATACCTTCTTTAGTGAGACGTTTGTTAAGGTCTTTGGCCCATTTTTTAATCAGGTTGTTTGTTTTCTTACTGTTGAGTTTTAAGAGTTCCTTGCATATTTTGGACAACAGTACTTTATCACATATATCTTTTGCAGATATTTTCTTCTGGTCTATGTTTTGCCTTTTCATTCTCTTTGCACTGTCTTTCACAGTACAGAAATATTTAATTTTAATGAAGTCAAGCTCACCAGTTCTTTCACTGATCATGCCTTGGATGTGGTATCTAAAAAGACATTGCCAAAAACAAGGTCATCTAGATTTTCTCCTATTTATCTTCCAGGAGTTTATAGTTTTATGTTGAAATTAACTTTTAAATGGTGGACTCACAGTAAAGAAGATAGTGCTTTACAATGTTAGTAGGCCTCATCTAATCAGTTGAAAGCCTGGGTTAAACAAGACTGGAGCAGATGGCCTTCAGAATTGAACTGCAACATTGGCTGTGCCCTGATTCTCCAGCCTACAGATATTGATAAATCTCTTTCTCTATGCATATAAACATGCTACTGCTTCTATTTCTCTGAAGAATCCTAACTAATACACTGTTCCTACTTTATGACCTGGAATATGTCTCCGGGAAGAAAGTTTGTGTGACATAGTGCTCACCTTTGTTTGTTTTCTTTCTCTCAGAGAAAATAGTTCTGTGCTGTTTGTTGTCCAATATTTAAAAACTGAATTTTAAATATTTTGCTCAATTTTTAATTTTTTTAAGGTGTGAAAGTTAAATTCAGTCTCTGTTCCTTCATTGAGGCAGAACTTAAAGTCCAATGAAGGTATTTAAATAGGAAACTCGATTTCCATGCTCCTTATAAACTCTTATTTCCCTCTTCTCTCAATATTTAAATATTAATCCTTTTCTCAATTTGTCTGTTAATAAGATGTGACTGTTTTTTAATTTAACTTGAGGTAATACATAAACATTTGTTTAAAGTCAAATCAACATGAGTTCAAATGATGTTTCCACCACACACTAAGTGCTATGAACACTTCATGTACTTTGTCAGAGCTTTTATCTCCTCACCTGACAACTGTGGATAATAACTGCTTCACAGACTTATTGGACATAAAGCACCTGGACACTATGTACACTCAGTAATTGTTAGTATATTAGCACATATTTATGAGAAGTTCCCCACTCTTCTCCTCCATCCAAATGGACATAGAAAGTTAAGCCATTTGTATTCCAAGTTTATGTTTTCAAGCCATATTCATTCTAGGGGTAGATACCTGGTGGTTATAAAATTTAAAGCTCAGAAATTTCATGTAGAAACCATGTTTCCTACCATAAATACCAGAGACAAGAAGAAAGAGAGACAGACAGAGAGGATTCCCAAGATGGGAAAATATTTCTAATAAATACTCAATTCCTTGGATTCACTTGTTTCTAAGGCTCAGACATCAACTGCATTCTACCCCATGATTTCTGAGACAACTTACTACCCTTACAATAATGTTTATGGCTAAAGTTAGATTAAATTTGGTTTTTGGACTTTGAAATCCAAAGAGTCCTTAATAATAGTATTTATCACTTCTTCAACCTTGATTTTCTTTGTTACCTTGGGAATTTTGACTCATGTATTTCCTCTTTGTAATAACCCAGGTTATGATTCACTTGTTTACTCTGTAATATTGTGTAACATATAAGGGGAGATAGATTTTCTACAAAATATATTGAGTTTTTAAAATGGTTTGCAATGTAGAAATCAGCATAATTATAAAGTGATCAGCAAAACTGCGCCTCAGATAAATATATTTTATAAGTCTTCCAATGTCCCCACTTGAACTGTTTCTTGTAATTCTAACTCTTTAATTATAAATGACTTTATAGTCCAGCTTTTTGCAGGGAGAAAATAATGAAATATGAATCTTGTTCAAAAAACGTAAATGAATTCAGAACTTAACAATCGGCACAAAATATGTAAATACCGAACAGGTTTCCAATGTAACAAAAAATGTAATGGAGATATACCTCAATTATACCTAAATAAATATTGCACAGAGTACTGCTCAACATTAATTCATGTCATGATATCTTACCATAATAATAGAAAGGCCCAGGGAACATTTTTGGTATATGATGAAGTATCTTCAGGAAAGACCCAAACTGGATTACACAGACTCAAACATCTAGAAAGAATATAAAGAGAATATCTGATCCAGAATCCTGCTTTCAAGTGTTATCATCAGCCTTTATTTTACACATGGGTAACTTTGACCTAAAAATATAAAAGGTTGTGGTCAAGGTCACACTGTTTTTTCAAAATGAAGTCATGACAAGAATCTATTTTTCATCTATTCATTCATTTATTCATTCAGTTATCTATATAGCAAATAACAATGCAGTGAGTCCTTGTGTGCTAGTCACTCTGGTATTTGCCAAAGATAAATGGTAAATTAAACAGACAGATAAATTTAACCAGTGGGCCTCATAATTTTTATTTTTTAAAAAACACAATTCTTCCACATATATTATTTTCAAAGAATGTATTTATTTATTTATAATGGACATAGATTCTTATTTTAATCAATAGATTATAACTCATTATTATTACTCCTTAATTTAATGCACAAAGTTTCACAGATTTGCTCAGTGAGAGCCTTTTAATACTGAATTTTGTGTCCTTTTGTCTTACAATCATGATTATTAAGGAATTCCTTACCTTCTGGCATAGCATATTGTTCCAGGATTATTCTGAATATTTCTAGACCCAGCTCTAGAATTAGACATTTCTCCAAGGAGCCTTGGTTCTTTTTAGTGGAAAATAATTTTTAGGAACCAAGATCTGGGTGATACTAGGTGTACTCATTTTTAGGTGTCTCCTGATATGATGCACTGACACAGATCCAACATCAAACCTGTGGTATTTTTGTCAAAATGCACTTGATTCCAATGATGAAAAAACATCTGAAAAGCCCAAACTGAGAGACATTTAACAAAATAAATTACTCACATTCTTCAAAATATGTTAAGTCAATGAAAGATAAAGAAAGACTGAGGAAATATAGTATGTAAAGGAAAACTAAAAAAAACAAAAGCAAAAAAAATGATAACTAAATGTAACTTGTGGTCATGAATTAGATCCTGTTACAGAAAAATATATAAATAAATAAGTACACAACTATTTAAGTGTAACTGTGATTTCTGCTAACAAGAAAGAGTATGAGATGCAACGTTCTAATTATACTAATAAGGAAGTGAAAATGTATGATAAAGGAAATGTAGTTTACTAAATAGAATTTCCTAGCAGTTTGGTATGGTATGCTAAATAACAGTATATATAGACACAAGGAAATGGACAGGAGTTCACTTCCTAGCCTTATCAAATTATCAAGTCACAGCCTCCTCATTTTTGAGTGAGTCACTTTCATTAATTATGTGATAATTATGTGAAAATGTTTTAAAAACTTTAATGCATTTTTCAAATAATAATCATTGTTAAACCTAGAATAATTTAGAACTTTTTTTTTCTTTCTTTGACTTAATCCTGGTATCCTAGGGCCACAGCTCACAATATTACCCAGTTTTTTCCCCCAAAAGCAACTGAAAAATACCTTCTTCATTACTTTTTTGCTCTACAAAGCTTACATTATTTTCTGTATTTCATGACATAAACGACAAGCAAATTGATGGCAAGAAGTATGTCTTCATTATCTTCTTCTCTTCCCCCAAAAAACCTCAATATCTGGAACAAAGGGTGGACTCAGTAGTATTTGCTGAGTGAATGAATGGTTATGGATAGGTGGAAACACCACTGTATTATGTGTCCAAATATCTCACTATATTATCTTAGAAAGTCAACCTATCACTCTGATTTCTACATTCTCATCTATAAAATCAAAACAATATCTGCCTTAAATGGCTCTTTGTTGTTGTTGTTGTTGAGGTATAGTTGTTTTACAATGTTGTATTAATTTTTACTGTACAGCAAAGTGGAGTTCCCTGTGGTATACAGCAGGTTCTTATTAATCGATTTTATACATATTAGTGTATATATGTCAATCCCAATATCCCAATTCATCTTACAGCCCCTTTCCCGCCTTGGCATCCATACGTTTGTTCTCTATAACTATGTTTCTATTTCTGCCTTGCAAACAGGTTCATATGTACCATTTTTCTAGATTTCACATATATACATTAATATATAATATTTGTTTTTCCCTTTCTGACTTACTTCACTTTGTATGACAGTCTGTAGGTCCATCCACATTTCTACAAATGATCCCATTTCTTTCCTTTTTATGGCTGAGTAATATTCCATTGTATATATTACCACATCTTCTTTATCCATTCATCAGTTGATGGGCATTTAGGTTGCTTCCATGACCTGGCTATTGTAAGTAGTGCCACAATGAACATTGGGATGCATGTGTCTTTTTGAGTTATGTTTTTTTCTGGGTATATGCCCAGTAGTGGGATTGCTGGGTCATATGGTAGTTCTATTTTTAGTTTTTCAAGGAGGAAAAAACTAAAAACAGAACTTGCTCTTCCATGCTGTTCTCCATAGTGGCTGTATCAATTTACATTCCCACCAACAGTGCAAGAGGATTCCCTTTTCTCCACACCCTCTCCAGCATTTGTTGCTCGCAGATTTTCTGATGATGACCATTCTAACTGGTGTGAGGTAATATCTCATTGTAGATTTGACTTGCATTTCTCTAATAAATAGTGATGTTGAGCAGCTTTTTATGTGCCTCTTGGCCATTTGTATGTCTTTTTTGGAGAAATGTCTATTTAGGTCTTCTGCCCATTTTTTGATTGGGTTGTTCATTTTTTAAATATTGAACTGCATGAGCTGTTTATATATTTTGGAGATTAATCCTTTGTCTGTTGCTTCCTTTGCAAATATTTTCTCCCATTCTGAGGGCTGCCTTTTTGTCTTGTTTATAGTTTCCATGGCTGAGCAAAACTTTTGTTTCATTATGGCCCATGTGTTTTTGTTTTTATTTCTATTACTCTAAGAGATGAGTCAAAAAACATCTTGCTGTGATTTATGTCACAGAGTGTTCTGCCTATGTTTTCCTCCAAGAGTTTGATAGTTTCTGATCTTACATTTAAGTTTTTAATCCATTTTGAGTTTTATTTTTGTGTATCGTGTTAGAGAGGGTTCTAATTTCATTCTTTTACATGTAGCTGTCCAGTTTTGCCAGCACCACTTATTGAAGAGGCTGTCTTTTCTCCTCTGTATATCTTTGCCTACTTTGTCATAGATTAGTTAACCATAGGTATGTGGGTTAATCTCTGGGCTTTCTATCCTGTTCCACTGATCTATATTTCTGTTTTTGTGCCAGTACCACACTGTTCTGATTACTGTAGTTTTGTAGTATATTCTGAAGTTAGGGAGTCTGATTCCTCCAGCCCCATTTTTTTCCTTCAAGATTGCTTGGCTATTTGGGGTCTTTTGTGTCGCCATACAAATTTTAAGATTTTTTGTACTAGTTCTGTAAAATATGCCATTGTTAATTTGATAGGGATTACATTGAATCTGTAGATTGTTTTGGGTAATATAGTCATTTTCACAATATTCATTCTTCCAATCTAAGAACATGATACATCTCTCCATCTGTTTGTGTCATCTCTGATTTCTTTCATCAGTGTCTTATAGTTTTCTAAGTACAGGTCTTTTACCTCCTCAGATAGGTTTATTCCTAGGTTTTTTATTCTTTTTTTTGCAGTGGTGAATGGGATTGTTTCCTTAATTTCTCTTTTTGATCTTTCATTGTTACTGTATAGGAAAGCAAGAGATTTCTGTCTATTAATTTGTATCCTGCTACTTTACCAACTTCAGTGATTAGCTCTAGTAGTTTTCCGGTGGCATCTTTAGGATTCTCTATGTATAGTATCATGTCATCCACAAAAAGTGACAGTTTTATTTCTTCTCTTCCAATTTAGATTCCTTTTATTTCTTTTTCTTCTCTGATTGCCATGACTAGGACTTCCAAAACTATGCTGAATAATAGTGGTGAGAGTGGGCAATCTTCTCTTGCTCCTGATCTTAGTGGAAACAGTTTCAGTTTTTCACCATTGAGAGCAATGTTGGCTGTGGGTTTGTCATATATGGCCTTTATTATGCTGAGGTAGGCTCCCTCCATGGCTATTTTCTGGAGGGGTTTTATCATAAATGGGTGTTGAATTTTGGAGAAAGCTTTTCCTACATCTATTGAGATGATCATATGGTTTTATTCTTCACTTTGTTAATGTGGTGTATCACATTGATTGATTTGCATATATTGAAGATACCTTGCATTCCTGGGATAAACCCCACTTGATCATGGTGTATGATCCTTTTAATGTGCTGTTAGACTCTGCTTGCTGGTATTTTGTTGAGGATTTTTGTATCTATGTTCATCAGTTTCACTGGTCTGTAGTTTTCTTTTTCTGTGACATCTTTGGTTTTGGTATCGGGGTGATGGTGGCCTTGTAGAATGAGTTTGTGAGTGTTCCTCCCTCTGCTATATTTTGGAAGAGTTTGAGAAGGATAGGTGTTAGCTCTTCTCAAAATGTTTGATAGAATTCACCTGTGAAGCCATCTGGTCCTGGACTTTTGTTTCTTGGAAGATTTTTAATCACAGTTTCAATTTCAGTTCTTCTGATTGGTCTGTTTATATTTTCTATTTCTTCCTGGTTCAGTCTTGGAAGGTTGTGCTTTTCTAAGAATTTGTCCATTACTACAAGGTTGTCCATTTTATTGGCATATAGTTGCTTGTAGTAATCTCTCATTATCCTTTGAATTTCTTCAGTGTCAGTTGTTACTTCTCCTTTTTCTTTGCTAATTCTGTTAATTTGAGTCTTCTCCCTTTTTTTCTTGATATGTCTGGCTAATAGTTTATCAATTTTATCTCTCAAAGAACCAGCTTTTACTTTTATTGATTTTTGCTATTGTTTTCTTTATTTCGTTTTCATTTATTTCTGATCTGATCTTTATGATTTCTTTCCTTCTGCTAACTTTGGGGTTTTTTTAGTTCTTCTTTCTCTAATTGCTTTAGGTGTAAAGTTCAGTTGTTTATTTGAGATGTTTCTTGTTTCTTGAGGTAGTATTTTACTGCTATTAACTCCCCTCTTAGATCTGCGTTTGCTGCACCACATAGGTTTGGGGTCATCGTGTTTTCATTTTCATTTGTTTCTAGGTATTTTTTGATTTCCTCTTGGTTTCTTCAGTGATCTCTTGGTTATTAAGTAGTGTATTGTTTAGTCTCCATGTGTTTGTATTTTTTACAGATTTTTTCCTGTAATTGATATCTAGTCTCATAGCATTGTGGTCGGAAAAGATCCTTGATACAATTTCAATTTTCTTAAATTTACCAATGTTTGATTTGTGACCCAAGATATGATCTATCCTGGAGAATGTTCCATGAGCACTTGAGAAGAAAGTGTATTTGTTGTTTTTGGATGGAATGTCCTATAAATATCAATTAAGTCCATCTCGTTTAATTTGTCATTTAAAGCTTGTGTTTCCTTATCTATTTTCATTTTGGATGATCTGTCCATTGGTGAAAATGGGGTGTTGAAGTCCCCTACTATGATGGTGTTACTGTCAATTTCCCCTTTTATGGCTGTTAGCATTTTCTTATGTATTGAGGTGCTTCCATGTTGGTTGCATAAATATTTACAATTGTTATATCTTCTTCTTGGATTGATCCCTTGATCATTCTGTAGTGCCCTTCTTTGTCTCTTGTAATAGCCTTTATTTTAAAGTCTATTTTGTCTGATATGAGAATCCTACTCCAGCTTTCTTTTGATTTCCAATTGCATGGAATATCTTTTTCCATCCCCTCACTTTCAGTCTGTATGTGTCCCTAGGTCTGAAGTGGGTCTCTTGTAGACAGCATATATATGGGTCTTGTTTTTGTATCCATTCGAGCAGTCTGTCTTTTGGTTGGGGCATTTAATCCATTTACATTTAAGGTAATTATCAATATGTATATTTCTATTCCCATTTTCTTAATTGTTTTGGGTTTGTTATTGTAGGTCTTTTCCTTCTCTTGTGTTTCCCACTTAGAAAAGTTCCTTTAGCATTTGTTGGAAAGCTGGTTTGGTGGTGTTAAATTCTCTTATATTTTGCTTGTCTGTAAATATTTTAATTTCTCCATCAAATCTGAATGAGATCCTTGCTGGGTAGAGTAATCTTTGTTGTAGGGTTTTCCTTTTCATCACTTTAAATATATTGTCCCACTCCCTTCTGGCTTGTAGAGTTTCTGCTGCGAAATCCTGTTAACCTTATGGGAGTTCCTTTGCATGTTATTTGTCATATTGCCCTTGTTGCTTTTAATAATTTTTCTTTGTCTTTAAGTTTTGTCAATTTGATTTCTTGTGTCTTGGCATGTTTCTCCTTGGGTTTATCCGGCCTGAGACTTTCTGTGCTTCCTGTACTTGGGTGACTATTTCCTTTCCCATGTTAAGGAATTTTCAACTACAATCTCTTCAAATATTTTCTCGGGTCCTTTCTATCTCTCTTCTCCTTCTCAGACCCCTATAATGTGAATGTTGGTGCGTTTAATGTTTTCCCAGAAGTATCTTAGGCTGTCTTCATTTCTTTTCATTCTTTTTTCTTTGTTCTGTTCTGTGGCAGTGATTTCCACTGTTCTGTCTTCAAGGTCACTTTTCCATTCTTCTGCCTCAGTTATTCTGCTAGTGATTCCTTCTAGTGTGTTTTTCATTTCAGTTAGTGTATTGTTCATCTCTGTTTGTTTATTCTTAAATCTTCTAGGTCTTTTTGTTAAAATTTTCTTGCATCTTCTCCATCTTTGCCTCCATTCTTTTTCTTAGGTCCTGGATCACCTTCACTATCGTTATTCTGAAATATTTTCTGGAAGGTTGCCTATCTCCATTTCATTTAGTTGTTTTTCTGGGGTTTTATCTTGTTCCTTCATCTGGTATATAGTCCTCTGCTTTTTCATTTTGTCTATCTGTGAATGTGGTTTTCATTCCACAGGTTGCAGGATTATAGTTCTTTTTGCTTCTGCTGTCTGCCCTCTGGTTGATGAGGCTATCTAAGAGGCTTGTGCAAGCTTCCTAATGGGAAGGACTGGTGGTCAGTAGAGCTGGGTGTTTCTCTGATGGGCAAAGCTCAGTAAAACTTTAATCTGCTTGTCTGCTGATTGGTGGGGCTGAGTTCCCTCCCTGTTGGTTTTTTGGCCTGAGGGGACACAGCACTCGAGACTACAAGCTCTTTGGTGGGGTTAATGGTGGATTCTGGGAGGGCTCACACCAAGGAATACTTCCCATAACTTCGGCTGCCTGTGTCCTTGCCCCTGCACTGAGCCACAGCCACACCTGCCTCCACAGGAGACCCTCCTAAACTAGCAGGTATGTCTCTTTCACTCTCTTATGGGGTCTCTGCTCCTTCCCCCTGTGTCCTGGTGTGCACACTACTTTGTGTGTGCCCTCCAAGAGCAAAGTCTCTGTTTCCCCCAGTCCTGTCAAAGTCCTGCAATCAAATATTGCTACCCTTCAAAGTCTGATTCTCTGGGAATTCCTTCTCCCCTTGCCAGACCCCCAGGTTGGGAAGCCTGATGTGGGTCTCTTAACCTTCACTCCCGTGGATAGACTTCTGTGGTACAATGGTTCTCCAGTTTGTGAGTCACCCACCAAGAGTTTATGAGATTTGATTTTATTATGATTGCGCTCCTCCTACTGCCTCACTGAGGCTTCTCCTTTGTCTTTGGATGTGGGGTATCTTTTTTGGAGAGTTCCAGTGTCTTCCTGTCACTTTTTCAGCAGTTAGTTGTGATTCTGGCTCTCTTGCAAGAGGGAGTGAGTGCACGTCCTTCTACCCCACCATCTTGAACAAATCTCTTAAATGGCTCTTGTAAATCAATGAAAATAATGGCCTTGAATGAGCTTAACTAGTGTAATATGCCATGTGTATCAGTTTTCTAAGGCTGTCATAACAAATTACCACAACCTTGGTGGCTGAAAACAGCAGAAATTTATTCTCTCACAGACCTAGAGTCCAGAAGTTCAAAATCACAGTGTTGGCAGGGTTCGTTCCTTCTGGGGTCTCAGGGAGAATCTATTCCATGCTTCTTTCCTAACTTCTGGTATCTTCAGCAATCCTTGGCATTCTTTGCTTTGTACATGCATCACTTCAATCTCTATTTTTGTCTTGCATGGCTTTCCTTTGTGACTCTCTGTGTCTGTCTCTTCTTTTTTGTCCCTTTATAAGGGCATTCATGATTGTATTTACAGTATTTAAAAAAGGGAAAAAGAAATTGTCCCATTCCTGAATGGAATACAAAGTTGCTTTTATGCTTTAGGGCTTAGCTGTTGATAGTATCCCAGCATTTGGATGGGGTTGATATGGTGCTCAGTGCCTCTGGTGGTATCGCATACAAAGTTCTATAGATGATGATAATAACTAGTGCCCAACTCTGTGTAGTAGAAAAAGCTGGTAAAATTGGTGGAAGTAGGTGGTAGCAGATTTTGAAATTTGTGCAAAAATTGTCCACCAGAAATATTTAAAAATAGAACTACTATGTGATCCAGCAATCACTGCTGTGTATATATCCTAAGGAAAATCACTATCCTGAACAGATATCTGCTCCCACATGTTTAAATCAAGGAGAAGGGATGGGTGTAAAAAATTGAAGGAAGGAAGGAAGGAAAGAAGAAAGAAAGAAAGGGAGGGAGGGAGGAAAATGGAAGGAAGGAAAAGAAAACGTGTGATGTCAACATACTCCCATTTTATGCTAATAGGTGTATTACCTTGAATAACATAACTTCTAAAAATCATAAAATTTGCCTTAGATAACTCCAAAAGAAGACATAATTGGCTTTAAGTAGTTTTCTCCAAAAATATTTTTATAATAGTAGGAAACTATAATATTATAAATTTTTCTTATCTTTTAGAGGAGTCTATATATACAATTGCTATCTTCATGGTTGAAAGGAAAATCAGTGCTATCACAGAAAAAACTTCATGACATTAAAGAACTTAATTCTGAGTTTAAAATCCTTCATATTGTAATCTCTTGTTATAGGGATTTATAAAGCTACATTTCTTGGAACTTGAGTTACTTTTGCTTTTGAATTGATAAATCATTTTAGCTAGTTCTCAGAAACCTTTATATCCCACCTTTTCATACAAGCACCTTCTAAAAGCTCCTCTCATTTGGCCATAAGACGCTGTGTTAAGCTGCCTCACTTCCCTGTTTCAAAGTCTTGCATGGTCCTTCCTAAGCCAAATTGCTATGTCTCAAAGGTTCTCCCCAGACTATGTCTATGTCTGTTTTCTTGGCCTAATGCCCAGCTGTACATATATATATTTATATATGCGTAAAGTGACATAGAGATTAAACCTCAGTGACTCCTCAAACTTAAAAAAGAATAAAATAAATTGTCATTAGAAAAATCTTGATGAGTCTAACAACTATATTGAAAAGAATACAATACTTGGTCAATACATCTAAGATTTTTGCCATGTAAAGAAAAAAAATTATTCACACTAGATTACTGATGTTTTATAAAGGTGGAAAACATATCCAGAATATTCTTTATTTTGTTCTAAAAAAGGGACTTCAAGTAGAAATATAGTATGTGTGTCCTCAAATGTATAAAATACATTTAGTGAATGATGTCTTCAACTATGCTTCCATATTTTTCTTAATCTCCCTTTAGTGTTACCTTACTACCCATATATGATCTCCAAATCATTAGCACTATGAAAAAGTTGAAGCCAGCTGAATGAGGAAATAGTCATCACCCAAAGCTTTCAACCCTGCCTTTACAAAGACAATATATCTGAAATGAAAGACCTATCACCAAGGAAACATCAAATCACCAAGGTTTCCATTTCCCAGGATATACCTGCAAGCCAGTACACAACTTTCAGGTTTCATTGCAAAATAAACTATTGACATTTATTTATGCAGTTTTTCTTTCAGACATTTAGCTAGCTCAATATTCACTATTTCTTTTTAAATTTAATTTTTTAATTCTCTTCAAGGAATAAATAAGAGACATGTGGATTGAGCGAATGATGTCCGTTTGATCTGTGTATTTGTAAGAATCCAAGTGTTCATTCATCTACAGCATGAGGTTGCTATTATATCAGGAACATTTGCTGCAATAGTATTAATTACCCAGGGCTTGCTACATAATATATGGTGCTGAAATGAAAGTGTGTTTTCAAAAAGCAAAGGAAATGTGTCATTAAAAATACTAGCATTTTCCTTTCTTCCATGGTTTTTCTCTTGATTTATCATGGTGTTTTTTTAATTTGATGTCACTCTAAGCAAAGAAAAATTAAAATTTTTAATCATTAGTATGCATTTTATTGTACATCTTATTTTGTACAATGCCAAATCTAACGCAATTATAATAACACTTAAACTACATGCAGAATCACTGAAATTGCACAATTTGTATTTTGTGCTTTGTGCATGTATACATATTTCATTCTTACCAGAACAGTGAAATGCTGCACAAAGCCAACTCGATTGATTTTATTTTACTTCTTGATATTGCATATTCTATTAACACACTCTACTTCCAGGTACTAATGAGTGAGGAGAATTGAAAGGCAAAGGGATTATGGTTTACCCTATCTTTCCCTTTCCTTCTATGTCATTATTTTTAGCACAAGTGATTGGCTAATATAAGGAAATAACATGAGTAAGAAAAGGATATGATGGAGTCCCTTGGCCATTCATGTTTCTTGGGACACAACTGCCTTCTTTCCTTATTCAGATAGTTTTGGTTCAATTAGAAAGCATGACTTCTCAGGGTTGTCAGTGCCACTCTTACTCTACTGTAAAAATAGCATGCTTATCTTGTATGCAGTTTGTCTTGCTGAACTCCCATGTATCTTGGGTCCTCCAGAATTCAGTGCTTACAGAGCATCACCAACACAGTCTGTCAATGGAAAAGAGGACACACGTATTGTATTGTCACTCACAAAACACAAGTTCAAAATTCATAGATCAAATTATTAAGACTTTCAAGATAATGACAGCAGAACATTGAGCCCTTCTGAGCTTGGAGCCCTATGGACTGCCTAGATTGCATGCTCATGAGGCCATTCCTGTAATTATCATTTATTGAATGCCTCCATATGCCCAGGGCTTTACATGAATTTTCTTTATCAATCATGACAAAACGGTTATGCTTATTTTTAGAGGATAAAATAAACATTTGAGTAATTGATACAGAGATATAGAGAATGCATAGATACTGAGAACAGACTGATGGTTGCCAGAGGCAGAGGTGGGGAGGTGGGCAAAATGGGGAAAGGGGGTCAAAAGGTACAAACATCTAACTGTAAAATAAATGTCATGGTGATGTAATGTACAGCATGGTGACTATAGTTAATAATACTCTATTGCATATTTGAAAGTTGCTAAGAGAGTAGCTATTAAAAGTTCCCACTAAAAAAAGAGTAATTGGGGCTTCCCTGGTGGCACAGTGGTTGAGAGTCCGCCTGCCCATGCAGGGGACACGGGTTTGTGCCCCGGTCTGGGAAGATCCCACATGCCACGGAGCGGCTAGACCCGTGAGCCATGGCCGCTGAGCCTGTGAGTCTGGAACCTGTGCTCCGCAACGGGAGAGGCCACAACAGTAAGAGGTCCGCGTACAGCAAAAAATAATAATAAAATAATGTTTAAAAATTTAAAAAAGAGTAATTGATCAACTTAATCTGTATGTCCTCTGCTCTACCAACAGATACAATTCAAGACTGAGTGAAAGATCAAGTGGAAACAAAATCTGAACTTGATAATTTTAACTAACTCTGTAATGTTACTATAATATACAATCAAAATAAAGGGAATTGATTCTATTGTATGGCTTATAGAAATCAGTCATAATTTAAAAACTATACTACAGGTAGTCCTTGCTTTGCATGGTACTATGTTAACTGAAACTTGTGAATATTAGTATAGTGTCATCATTTTCTATTTCCATGGAATTGTGCAAAGCAAGTATTACCTTACTGAATTCATTGTTTGTATAGTGATTTACAGTCCATATTTTTTTTGTTGTTTTTGGATAATTAAGATGTTATTTACTGTGAGGATTAATTCCAACAGGCCTAGAACTGGCCTCAGCCATGTTACTGGAGTACCTACACAGCACTGATGCTTGGTCCAGGCATGAAATATAACTGTTGATAGTGTCACTTTGTAATCATATGTCCAAAGAAGTTTGAAGATGGTTTGCACTAGTTTATCAACATTATTTAATCAACAACAGTGAGACTGCTGGTTTGTATCTGGTTTTGGTGAGACCCCCAGAGAGTTGTGCCACTGGGGCTGTTTACATTGTCAAGAGTATGCCTATGTGGCCAGGAGGAGTATAGGATACCCCAGTCAAGACTCCATTATGGACTCCATGGTTCCCAGATGTGCTGTGCACACATTGGTAGTTTCTGATCCAAGCAAGAAAGCACTTATACAGCCCTTAAGCACAATCAGAGCTCTTGCCTGGATTCTCAGGCTGTGAGGTCTTTGGCTATGAGGCATACCCTTACTTTAATACTGTTTCTCCATGTATCCTTTCCTTTGAATAAACTGTAGATTTCTACACATTGTCATTTTGGGTCCTATCATCTTCTTTAGCAAGCAATCCTGTCTAACTAACACCATTAGTTCATTTACATATCTATATTTCAGTAATTTATGGGCACAATATTTAAATTTTATTATTTCTAAAAACTTGTTTAAGCAACACCATAATCAGGATATAGATTACTTCCTCGACCTAAAAAGTTTCTTGTGCCTCTTTACACCTGATCCCCCCTACCCCACTTTAGGCAACCAGACATAGAAAGTTCAAATTCACTTTTCTGTTCTAGGAAAGCAGAACAGAACATGACTCCCAAACTGTATACCTAAGTGCACTGAGACACTACAGCCCATTTAAAGGGGTGTATTGGAATCTTTTACATATTTGAATAAAACACAGATACCACATAAATTACAACTGTTAAATTATTTGAATCTAACTACTTAATAAAAAGAACTACTAGATGTTTCTGTGATTTGAAGCATCATAAATAAATTACTGATACATCAATTTGTTCTTTGAACTAAGAAAATTTGGGAACATCTGATATCCATCTCACTTTGAAGAGGAAGGCAGATGTTATTGAGGCCTGAATTGTGGGGGAGGCATATTGGTCACAATTACATTGGCAAAAAATAACAACAACTAGCCATGGCTATAACAGATAGGAGTTTTTCTTTCAAGAATCAAGAAGTTCAGAATAAGATGTTGATGACTAAGACAGCTGCTCAAGATGACATCAGAGCTGTAGGCTGTCCTGATCTGCTCTCAGTAGTGCGTGGCTTTCATTGTCATGATCACAATATGACTGCCACACTCCCAACATCACATCTGCTATCCAAGAAGGAAAAAACCAAACAAAACAGCTGAGATGTAAAATTACAAAGACATCCTAACAGTTTAGTCTGTATTCTAAAATAACTTCCTTAGAAACTAGCCCAGAAAATTCCTTTTGCCTCTTATTGTTCAGAAAAGGGTTACGTGATTATGCCTAACTACAAGGAAGTAAAGCAAATGGAATATTTTTATTTTCTAGACTTTAGAGGAAGTCAATTGAAAATGACTTTTGAGTGCAAATAAACATGAAACATGTTTCAGATATGTTAATATCTCAAAATATTATTCCACTAAGTGATACCAGAACTTATTTGTTTCTAAATCTGCTAATGCACTGCTTATAAGTTAGTTGCTTTGGTACAGCATAGGAAGACGATATAAAACATTGTATTGCTTTTGTTGGGAAAAAAACATCTAGTTTGTGTGCTGAAATAAATCTTTACCATTATGTAAAGGTAAAGTATCCTATGATTGTATCTTATACCATCATCTAAAATCCTGTTGAGTTCAAAAAATAATGGTTGTGGTAAAAATTGTCTATTTGTTGGGGTTTTAATTTTTTGCGTTCTTACCAGAATATTGTGTCATACTCTATCAGGCAGCCTGCCCATTCCCATTTCCTCCACTTCATTGAATAATCAGACTTCTTGATGTAGAAGAGGTGGATGGAAACTAGTCTATGATGGACATTTAATCAAAGACCGGAGTTGGCTTTACTAGTTTTGAGACGTGATAAATTTAGAAACTACTGACAGCTGTCAGAATTTTGAGGTTAAACATAATAATGAATAACTAAAACTTTCTGAACATGCCAAATTCTGTAAATACACTTGAATGTTTAATTCATTCTTTGGGCGTTAGATGGCACCAAGAAATGAATTTAAGACAGTGTTTAGATTTTATGTATTAAGCTTGATGCTTGACATTTTATGGGACATTTATTATTTTTCTAGATGAATATCCTTTTAAAGAACTTAGAATAAACAGTCTACATAAGAAACAAGTGTGCTGATAGCCCAAGGTTGAATAGATCGTATAAAACAGGAGGCAATAAATGGGGAATGCTTTCAATAGTTAATGCTATTTTTAAAGACATCATGAATTTGTATAATATTTCTAAGATATTTAACTTCCACTTGAAATTGGAAGCAATTTTAGATCTCAAAATTCAAGTAATTCTGAAAGTCTTCAAGAGATTTTTGAATGTGGAGCATATAATAATACATAACACAAGTTCCCTACTGATTTCTTTATAGTGCTATAAACCTGAATATATGTAATAAGTTTCTATTCATTCTATGTCTTTGGAATAATTTAAATAGAGGCACTATAACTGAGGCTAACTTTTTTAGCTACTAAAGCTGTGGTTTTGTCCCATATAATCCTATTTCCAAACTCACCTGTGCCTGAGGGTCTCAGTAATAGGATGCCCATTAAACCATTAATGTTTAACCCTGAGACTTGGTGTCCTGGTAATAAGAAAGATATGAAGAAATGAAAGATTTATGTCAGAAGAAAGGCAAAGTATACAGCCTGTCATTTCTACCTTTATGGATTATGAAAAGAAAAAAATGGAGACAGAGGTATATTTACGAGGTCAAATGTCAGGATTATTACTTCCCCACACTATTTCCCTTGAAGTTATCAATACATAGCAGTTAATTTAAAAATATATATATACAGAAAGGTATAGATATGGAAGAATCTAAAACCTCTTGATGCAGGGTGAGAGGAATAATATGGAGATATGACTAAGAGGAGTACAAGTAGATGAGCCTAACGTAGGACCCTGGTATTTCATGGCATGTTGCCTGCACATGGCAAGCAAGGGTTTGGAAGTTCCCACTGCCCTGGTGAGAAGATGGAAAGTTACTGAAAGGGCCAGTGGACCAGCAGATGCCAGGTTGGAGAAAGGAGTAGGGAACATAATTTTTATGGCTTTTTAGTAGTGAAAATACTATCTTCTACAAATCCCTCTGATACCAGAATTTCCTGCACTAAGCGGTGTACCAAACCATTTGGACATTTTTCCTGATTTTGCCCCATGAACTTATTATACAAGGGGCTATAGCCTCTAATGCTTACTTATAATAGAATGTGGTGGAACGAGGTCCATTAAAGAGCACATGTCTTTTCTTAAAGGGTTGGAATTCACTCAACTTAGGGAACAGTTGCCATGGAGGAGTGCTGGCCCAATGTTGTTAGATTTTCTAATTTTGAAAGAAAAGTCATAAATCTTTATTTTACGTGGATCTTCTACATTTTTCAATAAGATCAAATAATACAGTTTAAAAGAAAAACAGAAGCCAAATAAAGCATATGATTCATTAGCCACCAGTTTGCTGACTTTGTTATAGAGAATGTTCTGGGTTGCTCCTTCACAAATCAGCCCTTTAAATACGTGAGAACATATAAAGAGCCCCTAAAATTTAGTTTAGCATGGATTTTTTTCCCCAGATAAGCAGGGAGTATGGCACATACACATTTTCCTTGTATTCCTGTTTTCATTTATTTTT